TATCTGAGGGGATGACCCTGGGTATCTGAGGGGATGACCCTGGGTATCTGAGGGGATGACCCTGGGTATCTGAGGGGATGACTCTGGTATCTGAGGGGATGACTCTGGTATCTGAGGGGATGACCTGGGTATCTGAGGGGACACCGTCCCACACTAGGGCCTGAGGGGAAAGCCCTGCCCTGGGTGTCTGAGAGGACATAACAAATCCTTGGGATCTGGGAAGAGACAGCTCAATCCTGGGGAGGGTCCGAGGGGACACAAGACCATGTGAGGGTTCTAATGGGGAGACCTCTGAGTTTCAGATCTTACCTTGGCAGATGGTTGCCAAGAAACGACCCCTGGGACAGTCACTGTGAGAGAGACATGGATGGACAGACAGAAGGAGAATGAGCAGGAGCTGGTGGGGCATCTCAGGGGCTGTGGGGATCCATGGTGTGTGCCCCCTCTGGCCCACAGCCCTCCTTACCACACAGAGATGACCTCAAGCAGCCTTCGGGCATGGGGCAGCCTTCCCTCATCCACACAGAAGAAGCCCAGTGTGCCATTGGCACCTGCTGTCCGCACGTCGAGCTCCGAGTGGGCCAGTGCCCTGGGCAGGGCAGTGGTCAGGCCTGTCCTCCCATCCCTCCCAGCTCGCAGCCCTCCCAGGGATGTCCCAGTACCTGAGGAAGCCCATTTCCTCACAGCCAAGCCCAGCCACTCTGGCGTTGGAGCGCGAGGAGCACAGCAGCCGCCACGTGCCTTCTGTCTCGTCAAACACAGTGAGCCGGGCATCCACTGGGCTGACCTGCACTGTAGAGCAACAGGACCGAGGCAGCCTGGTCAACCAGGTCCTGCCTCGTCTCCCCTTCTCCTCACATGTTCTCCTGCCAGCCTGTCCCATTTATGATTGTCAGTGGTTTCCAGAAGGGCACATAACTCAAAGTGTGACAATGAATGGACTTTGGCAGGTCCCAGTGAGAACCAGGGTGCCCTTTCTCTCTCCATGAGCAGGCTGGCTGCTCAAGAAGGCACGTCTAAAATTTGCTTGGACACTGGGGAAGAGGGAAACTTTCCACTCTGCTTCCAAGAAAATGGTGTGAAAGGCTGAAGCTGCTGGGGACCATCACTGCCCACAAGCGGGGAGAGGGCAGCCAATAGAGAGGAAAACCAAGAGAGAAGGCTGATATTTTTACAGCACCTGGATGCAGCCAGACCTGAAGTACTCACAGAATTGTCAGTTAAGTAAGACAATAATTTTTCCTATTCCATTTAGCTAACTTCTCCCCCTCCCCTTTTGTCTTTTGCAACTTGAAGACATCATATTGCCAAAATGTTTAAACCGTTGTCCCATCATCTTAAAACAAGTCTGTCTGTCTGTCCTCAAGGAGGTGCAACAGTGTGCACCTTAGAGGTAGGACGGTGACAGTTCCATGTCACATGCATCTCACGTATTGCTGGGAAAGAGAGGAAGATCTTCAAAGAGATGGATTGACACAGTGACTTTAAAAATGGACTTAAGAGTATCAAAGGTGGAGAGGATGGCACAGGATAGGGCAAGGTTCAGACCTGCTGCAACAGGGTGGCCATGAGACATGCTTGACTCAATGCACATAGCAAGTCTTTTTTTTTATTTCCATTCATCCATTATTGCACTTTTCTCCCCCCCTCCCAGTACACTACCCTCTTGGAAAAGTGAAAGAAAAATTCTTTCATTGTTTTACAATCCCTCCCCTCAGGTCCACTCCACTATGCAGCCTTCGCTCTGGACTCCTGTCATGACAAAAATACCGAATAAATTTCTCTCTTAAACAGTTTTCTCCCTCATCTGTTTCAATGCAGTACACATTATTGCACCCATCTTTCTCAGTCTCCCCCCAACCCCGAGGTCAGTCCTGTTTTACAACAGTGGCACCATGCAGTATTTGTCCTTTTGTGACCGAGATACCTCACTCAGCATAATGTCCTCTAGGGTCACCCATTTTGCATTATAGTGCATGAGTTCCTTGGTTTTCAATGCAGCATAGTATTCCATTGTGTGAATATACCACAGCTTCTTTATCCATTCATTTGTTGATGGGCATTTAGGTTGTTTCCAACTCCTTGCTATTGTGAACAAAGCCATGATAAACCTGGGTGTGTATAACATAGCAAGTCTTAAAACAAAAATAAGAATTGAAACAACAACAATATCTTTCCTGTAGATACACTGAGGCCTTAAGTATCCTAAAATCTCTCTGAATGGAAGAGCAAGTACTTATCCATTGACTGCACAAAAGATCATTAGATTGAGGGGGTGGGGGAGATATCACTGAAGACACAAGGTGACTTGGGAGGCTGGGGTGGGAAGAGACAGACTGGGTCGCTAAAGGCATCTTAACTAATTGTAACAAGAGGGGAGAACGAGGTAAGCAGGGAGGCTGAGGAGAGCTGAGCTGGCGAGAGACTGGCCTAGACCTGGTCAGGGCGCAGCGTGTGCTGAGAGCTGATGTTCCTCTCTCTCCCATCTCTGTTCTCAGCTGGTTGCTGGTTGTTGATGTTGCTGTTATGTTCCATTGAGTCAGAACAGACGCTTAGCTGATCCTCCAGCAGATTTTCAGAGGTGGTGAATGACACGGGAGGAGACTGTCCATCTTTCTCCCATGGAGCAGCTAGTGGATTCAAACCACATACTTTCAGATTGGCAGCACAACTTCTAACCACTAAGCCAACACAGCTCCCTAGTGATAGTTGGAGGTACTCTATACATATACCCAGGTCAGGTGACAGCCCTTAGGTGTCTGGCACACATGTCAGGACGTTTGAGACAGCGAACAATGTTCACAACAATGGCCATGCCAGATGAAAGACCCCAGTGGGTGAAAAGGATGGTGAACAGGACAGAAAAAGTATGGCAGGTGTGTGTAACCAGGCAACAAGGGCCACAAAGAAAAATAAAGCCTGATGGCAGGGGGTTGTTGACGTGGAAGATAAAATGTTCAACAACTGGAAAGAAAAACTTGTTAGGAGATGGTGCGGGAGCCAGATCTGCGGTCTGGAGCAGGTAAGAGTATCACATGAACAACAAACAAGGCAGAGGGAACAGCAAGTCCAAAGATGCAGAGGCTGGCGGGAGCATGTCTAGGGAATAGCAAGGTGCTCTCACGGAGCAATGGCAGGCCTGTCTGTTTTCTGGAGTGAGGTGCACTCACGGGGGGGGGGGGCAGGCTCCAAGCTAGGGAAGACCCTGCTCTGATACAGGAACAGTGCGTTGGGGCTGAGAACAAAAAGATCGGGGGCAGGGGGAGGCCATTGTGTTGGTCCTGATGGGAGAGAGAGAAGATGGGGCCAGAGTCTGGGCAGTGGAGGGAAAGAAGAGTTTAGATCCTGGAAAGACATGGTAGATGTAGTCAACAGCATTTGCTAACACACTGGGGATGGATGTGAAGGAGGAAGCGACCAAGCAAGAAAGAGCTTGAGGTCTTGGTCCCAGGAAGGACGAGATGGGGAAGGTGGGGAGGGCTTGCAGCAAACTCAGATATGCATCTCTGCCTTTTTCTCATGGCCTCTGGTGCAACTGAGTCTGGTGCAAGACCACTTATGCTTCCTCTTGGGAGAAACATAAAGGTATGCCACTCTGTGGCTCATAATGAATTATGCAGGCACTGAGGAGAATGGGTTCTCCAGATCTACTTAACTGCTCATATAGAACCTGTAGATGAATGAAAAAGCAGTTGTTCAAAGAGAACAAAAGGAAAGTGCCTGGTTTAAAATCAGGAAAGGTGTCCATCAAGATTGTATCCTTTTTCAACACCTATTCAAATATGTATGCTGAGCAATTAATTTAAGATAATCTAAAATAATTGCTCTGCAATTAATTTAAGAAGCTGGGCCATATGAAGAAGAATATGTCATCAGGACTGAAGAAAGACTCATCAACAACCTGCATGATGCAGATGGGACTACCTTGCTTGCTGAAAGTAAAGAGGACTTGAAGCATTTGCTGAAGGGGATCAAGGATTACAGACATCAGTATGGATTACACCTCAAAATCAAGAAAACAACAATCCTCACAACTGGACCAATAGGAAATATCATGGTAGATGGAGGAAGACTGAAGCTGTCAAGAATTTCATTTCACTTAGCTCTCATGGATGCATTAGTCAAGAAAGCAAACGGCATAATCACATAGGGCAAATAAGTGACATAGTACATTGAACTATTTAAACTCTTTAAAGTACTAAAGAACAAAAATATCATTTTAAAGATGAAGGTGTGCCTTACCTAAATGATATTTTTTAAATTTTATATGCATGTTGATGCTAAACCTATACTTGGACCAGGAGGCAGTCCTCAGAACAGAACAAGAAAACACTATGGTTCAAAATTAGGAAAGGAGTGCATCAGGGATGCATCCTGTCTTCATAACTCTTCAACCTATATGCTGAAAAAAGCATTCAGGAGGCTGGACTTTATGAGGAGGAATGCAGCATCAGGATTGGAGGAAGATTCATCAATGACATACATTATGCAGATGACACAACCTTGTTTGCCGAAACTGAGAAGGATCTGAAGCATTTGCTGCAGAAGGTCAAGGACTGTAGTCTTCTACGTGGGTTGAAGGTCATCATTAAGACGATAAAGATTCTCCCCACTGGGCCAATTGGAAGAACCATGATAGATGGAGAAGAGATTGTGGTTTTTAACAATTTCAGCATATTCAGCTCCACAATCAACATTGTTGGCACCAGCAGTCAAGAAATCAAAAGATGATTTGCTTTGTGGAAATCTGCTGTCAGACACTTTTCCAAAGTGCTAAAAAAGTAACAATGTCAGTGTGATGTGCCTGATCAGGCCATAATCTTCACAATTATGTGTTACGCATGAGAGAGCTGGACAATGACTAGAGACAAAAGAAGGAGAATTGATGCCTTTGAGCTGTGGTGCTGAGAAGAGTGTTGAGCATACCATGGACTGCCTAGAGAGAACAAGCAGGTTTATCCTAGAGAGGCTGTTCCTCGGAGGCAAGGATTTTGAGGCTCTGTCTCACATACTTGAAGCATGTGGCCACGAGGGACCAGTCCTTGGAGAAGGATATCATGCTTGGAAGGGTAGAGGGACAGCGCAGGACAGGAAGACCCAGAATGAGATAGATTGACACAGTAACTGGGGCAAGGGGGGTAGGTGTATCGAAGACAGTGAGGCTGGCTCAGGAGAGGGCAAAGTTCAGAGCTAGTGCACAGGGTTGCTATGAGTCGTAGGCGACTCAATGGCACATAACAACAACAACATATGCATGTGCAAGCGGGACAATAACTAAGGAAGGCCAAATAATTGATGCCTTTGAATGGTGGTATTGGCAACTAATATTAAATATATCACGGAATGCCAAAAGAATAAACAAATCCATCTTTGAAGAAGTGCACCAAGGCGCTTCTTAGAGGCAAGGACAAGGAAATTTCATATATTTTGGGCATATTGTCAGGAGGCATAGTCCCTGGGAAAGGACATCATGCTTGGAAAAGTTGAGGGACAGTGGAAAAGATCTTCAGTGAGATGAACTGGCATGGTAATGCAACCATGAACTTGAGCAAAGCGGAGATGGTGAGGATGGTGCAGCTCTGGCCTGCTTTCTGTACCTGGGAGTCCTCATGAACTGAAGCTGACCCCGCAGCACCTGCGAACAACACAGCGAGGCCACACGCACCGAACTACCTCCACTATCTTCAGCCTCAGAGATGTGAGAACTCAGCCCGACCGAGGCCCTGCTATAACCCCGTCCTAGGTCACATGCCCTCCTTGCCTCAACATCAATGAGGACCTCACGCCACCCCTCCGAGGCCACAGTCTTGTCCAGGTGAGGCTGCTGACGTCTATAGAGACGGAGGGGCTTGGCCCATATCCCACAGCACGTAAGAAGCAGCCAGAGGGTTTGAATTCAGGCCTGAGTGACGTCAAACCGAAACTTTTAAATTTTAAATTCTCTCAAGTGACTTCCTTCCTGTGGGGTAAACACAGCTCAGCAGTAGTGACACTGACTGTGTTCTGGGGTCACTGAGAGCCACAGAGACCCCGTGGAGGTAGGCTGGTTCCAACTCAACAGCAAAGAGAGAGGCTGACTGGGGAGTGTGATGGCCTTGAATCAATTTTTACACCCATCTTACAGGTGCGGAAACTGAGGCTTTAAGAGGTACTCAGCTAAGAAGTGGCAAAGGGACATCTGAGCCCACCACACTGACCTGCACGCTGCCGGCTTCCTCAGCTGTGGATCTTCCCGGTCCCCTGCTCAACCTGTCCACAGGCAGCGGAATCTCCTCGTCTGCTTGTTTTAACTACGACCCCCAGCTCCAGGAGCAAGGCTAAGCACTGTCGACTACCTCACGCCCTCTGGGGATTTGAAGCACCAGCTGGGGATGGAGGTGGATTCTGAGTCTAAAATGACTTCTAACTATTCCAGAAATAGCATTTCCAGAAAGGAGCAGGTTTTAAAGAAGAAGTATATCACCTTATGTGTACTGGGGGTGGGCAGGCTCCAATTATTTTTTTTAAAGCCACATGTTATGCCACTGTTTTTCTCTCTTTTTTTTAACTCCTCTTTTATCCTTTGTGGTTCTTTATGCAACATGGAAAGTGTGTTCTGGGTCACCTGGCTTACATATCAAATTGTCTGATATATTTAGAGGTGTGAGAAATCCAAGGAAAATGAGGTGGGAATAGAACTGTGTCTGCAGTTTTGGGTTTTTTTTTTTGTGGTTAGCTTTTAGGTTTGGGGAATTTTATTGTTGTTGTTGTTTCCTTTGTGATGTCTCAAGGTCTTGGAAAAACTCAAGTACAACTGAAGGACAAAGCTTTAGCGAGAGTCTGGTCTGAACCACAGGCAAGCTGCTTTGCAACTAGACACCTCACGATGATGTAGTGATCTTGTTCACCAATCCTTGCATTTAGCTATTAAGCTGAGACTTCTTGACCACCTACTATGTGCCAGGTACTATCTGGAGCAGCCTACAAAATGCCTCTCACTTCCTGGAATCCACCAGAAATTAATTGTGAGTGTCAGGACAGTTTTACTAGAAGCAGAGGAGACAGTCTTGGGGTAGAGAATGTCTGGGAGTCTGGGAATCCCAGAAGGCCTTGCACAAGAAAGTTAAGACTTAGAGGGTATAAAGCAAAAAGCCAACATCATGAGTTGGTTAAAAATGTCCAGTTCTCACTTGATGATTCTTACCCCAGTTTTCAGATGAGGATGGAACTCTGGCGGCCTGTTGGGAAAGGAGCTGGCATGTGGTTCCAGTCCACCAGCTAGTTCACAGAAGACAGACAGTCTCCTCTCATGTGATTTACAGACTCTAAAAACCCACTCGAAGGCCAGCCATGAACCAGCTCCAACTAACAACACGTAACAACAACATTACTGAGGAGGAAAACTGAGGCTCAGAGAAGGTAAGGACTCTGCATGGTATGAAGCCCCACAACCCTGGAGTGTGTGGACCCCAAGTTATGCTATCATTATGGCGGTCCTTGAATCTTACAGCCACTCTGGGAGGTACAGACCATTTTTATACTCATCTTACAGATATGGAAACTGAAGCTTAGAGAGTCACACAGTGGAGAAAGTGCAGGACAAAAGCTGAAAGGAATGGAGGCTTTGGTGCAGGAAGGAGTTGGTCAACAGAGAGAGAGAGCCCCATAGGTAGGTCTAAGGTGAGAGTGAGGAAAGGACCAGCATGTAGGCCTTGGGGGCTGCGGTGAGGAGCCCTCTTCTTGTCCTGATGACATGGAGATCACATAATGGCTTTCAGCAGAGCCTCATCCCCTTGCTCAGCCACCCACTCTCCAGGTTCTTGGATCCAAAAGCTGGCTTCCCTGGGCCTCAGTTTCCCCACCAGAAAAACAAGGGTTATGGTAATAGCTCCAACTTTACAAGGCTGCAGCCAGGACCCGGCATATAGTAGGCCTTTCACATGACAACTAATTGAGTGGCTTCTTCAGAAACAGGAGAGTATACTAATTAGACATTAGGGCCAAGCCCTGAATGAGAAGTTCAAATCCTAGCCCAGCCAGTCCCTTGCTCTGTGACCTGGTAGCCTGCTCAGCCTGGTAAGCCAGGCCCCCCACATTCAAACGGGCTGTGGAGATGATTTAATGAAATGATTCCCATAAAGGTCTGAGGTCTGGGCTTGACACAGGTTCTGTCAGTATAAGTAAGAATGATTCATACTGATATTGGCTTTTCTTGTTTGAATCATCAATGCTTCTCTTAATGTGGGCTGAACCCTTTATGGAATTAGGTGAGGCTCACGGACACAAAATATATATTGGGCTCTGATAGCCAGGCATCCCCAGCCTGCTTTACTCACCTGGATACAGCGGCTCCTGGTCACTCTTGAGCAGAACGGTCACTGCAGAGAAGGCAGAGGTGAAGGCGAGCCGGCTGGGGGCCCCTGGGACAGTGGGAGGGAGAGGCGCAGGGCCAGCTCTCACCAATGGCCCAAGATGCAGCCCCGATGCCCACGAGCAGCAGCAGAGTCCCCGCGATTAGAGCCGCCACCTTGGATCCAGAGCAGCATGGCACAGTCCGGCCACCTACAACAGACACCATGCCGAGGCCACTGCCAGGCCTGTCCTCACCACTGGGCCCCGGGCCAGCTCTGCCTGCACCTCCCGACGACGATGCCTGGGCCTGCTGTGCCCGAGGCCCAGCTCACTAGGGCCAAACAGGGAGCAGGGTGGTCTCTCCCCTCTGCCACAGGGTCAAGCAGGTGTCCAGCACTTCCAGAGGTGTCCCTCTGGGAAGGGGCCATGACTAGGGCAGACACCACCCTGCCTCCACAGGAAATGCCACGTCCTCAGTGACACTGCACTTTTGTATCTTCTGTCACCATGCGCTGTCTGTTCTAGGACCTCTCATTTTTGCTGACTTTCCCAGGGACCTCGGGGCCCATTTCATATAATCCCATTGCCACATTTTGCCTTGTTGTTGTCAACTCTGCCCACTGTGTCCCTCCACTAAGACCAGCTCCAAGTTCAAAGTCACCTCTGAAGGTTGAGAACCAATGTATGGAAATTTGCCAGCCTTGTTTCAAAACAGCAGCCTCATTCTTGCCTCGCTGGTACTTTGGGCAGGTGGTTTCATCTCTTTGAACCTCAGCTTCCTCACCTGTTAAATGGGCATCCTCCCAGCCCTCACCTTTAAAGCTCTGCCAAATAATAATCAAGTTCTTATCAGATGCTTTTTTAAAAAAAATTTTTACACATTACTTGCTATTCACCAAAGAGTTGGACAATGACTAGGGATGATAGAAGGAGAGTTGATGCCTTTGAGCTGTGGTGCTAGAGTACTGAATATACAACATGGACGGCTAAGAGAACAAACAGGTTTGTCCTGGAGAGGGTGAAGGCAGGCTGCTCCTTGGAGGCAAGGATTCTGAAGCTTCATCTGACATACTTTAATTAATCCCCTTTTCCCCCTGCACATTCTCATCCCTCTGCCTCCAGCTTCTCCCACCCTTCTTGGATCCTTATACTCATTCTATAATAATGCTTCTATATAATAGTTATTGTTGTAGGACTGAGTTCACTCAGCATACTGCTCTCCAGTCCCTCCCAAGTTACATAATAATTTACAAAATCATTGCTCAGATGTTTATTATACCAAACACTGCTCTAAATACATCTACACTGGCCTTATCATTGTGATTCTCGTATTTCAGATCTGGAAAACTTAGGCTCGGCCATGTAGCGTTACCTGCCCAAAGTGACTCAGCCAGGAGGGGGCAGATGTGGGACAGCAGCTCACGTGGATAACCACTGGGTAATACGACCTCTCTGTTCTGTAATGCCTGGTCTACAGCAAGTGCTTAGTAAGTGCTTTCTAAATCAGCAGTTATATAGTAAGTACTAAGAAACTCGCTTCACCACTCTGAACCTATTTTGTCACTGGCAAACTCAACGCCGTCGAGTTAGAACCAACCAGAGCTCATCCTAACTGGATTTGCATGGAAGGAGACTGCCTTTCTCCTAAGGAGTAACTGTGGATTCGAACCACGAGAGAGGCACTGCCTTGGGTTCTCTGTGAATTGCACCACCAGAGCCCCCTTCGGTCATTGGTAAAATGGAGCTTTTTCTACTCTTTGTCCTGCTGTGTCTTCACGATATGCCAGCACCCTTCCAGACTGAGGACAAACTCAAAAGCAGGGCTGATGAGATGCTCTCCCTGGAAACTTACATTCCCCCATTTGTAAGCAGGTGAGGAAAGCAGAGATGAGTGAATGAGCCCTGTAATTTCTACAGTGTGGCCAAGGTTATGAAGAAAATGATGCAGGTGGGGATGGGAGCAGCAGGCCAGGCTTCCATCAAGAAGTGGCTTTTGAGCTAAGCCAGCCAAGCAACAATCTCAAGACTGGCCCTGAACAAGAACAAACAGGATGTTAGACGGCTAGAGAAGGAGGTCAAGATAGCTTGAGTGGGCCAACATGGCATGTGCAAGGCTCTTCCAAGCCTGTGAGAACTACATCTCCCACTGGAGTCTGTGGTAGTAGCGGTGGCAGGTACAGGGCCAGAACAGAGTGGTCTGGAACCTTCTTGGACCTGCCATTGCCTAGGTGTTTTAATGTTAGAGTCCAGACTTTCACACTGAGGCTTGGGAGGGCCCCAACAGGTCAGTCCAGCCCAGTCTCTGCTGTTTGGCCCTTGGGAGGTGCTATCAATTTTGCCCTCCTGTCATCTTCCTGGCTCCAGGTGGGGCTCTTTCTCTCAGATGTGCCTTCCAGGGCTTTAGGCTGCTCATAGTCCATCCTGGGGTGTCTGCTGTGTCTAGTAGGACAGAGAACATCACCATCCTGTGTATCCCAGGGTGGGAGGAAGCTGAAGAACCTCCTTGCATGACCTCCAATTTAGGGGAGTTCAGGCAACTCCAAAACAGCTGCCTCTCGTAGGCCAGGAAGATTCTTGATCTGCAATTCTATTGAGAGATACATCCACGCTTGGTGTCTGTGCTGGGGCAGGAAGTATCTGCTCGTGTGGCATGAGATACACTCACGTGATGAATCTTTGCTGGGACAGGAAGTGTCTTCATCTGTGGAAGTGAGGCACCCTCATCTCAAGATTATTTGAGAGAAATAAAGGCTCTTCTGTCAGGTAAACCCATTTCTCCTTTCAGAACTCTGCTCTCTGCTTCTTTGGGCACCTCCTCATTACCCACTTTTCTCAGGACAGTTCTCCTATCTCCATCACTGGGCTGTGAAGACCCTCACAGGGGACATATTTGACGCTGTGTCTTTATAAATCTACTTAACTGATAACTCCATACCTCTTAATTTTAAATTATCCCTCAGTCATTGCCCTAAGGAACAGCAAATTAAATTTCTTCTGTTCTGCAGCCTTCATGGATTGAAGCTCAACACAAAAAACAAAAAAACAAAGATTCTCACCACCGGGCTGACTGGCAGCATCACATTGGGTGAGGAAGGGCTTGAGATTGTTGACAGCTTCAGTTTGCTTGGCTCTACAATCAACACTTTTGGTACCAGCAGCCAGAAAATTAAGACAAATTGCATTAGAAAAGTCTGCTGTCAGAGACCTCTCCGAGGTATTGAGAAGCAATATTTCAGTCTGGAGACTAAGGTGCACCTGATATAGGCTATGACTAGGGAGGATAGAAGAAGAATTGATGTCTTTGAGCTGTGGTGCTGGAGAAGAGTATTGAAAATACCATGGACTGCTAAAAGAATAAACAGATTCATCCTGGAGAGGGTGAAGCTAGGCTGCTTCTTGGAGGCAAGGATTCTGAAGCTCCGTCTGACATACTTTGGACATGTTGCAAAGTGGGATCAGTCCTTGGAGAGGGACGTCATGCTTCAGAGGGTGGAGGGACAGCACAGAGAGGAAGACCCTCGATGAGGTGGATTGATTCAGTCACTGGGTTAATAGGGAGAGATGTGTCAGAGACAGTAAGACTGGCAAAGGATAGAGAGCAGGGTTTAAGGCTGTTGTACACAGGGCCACTATAAGTTGCAAGCACGATGGCACATAACAACCACCACCCCTCTACTTAACCCCGAAGCCTGGTTCTGACCTCCCCTTCTTCACTCCCCGCTCCAAGCCCCATTCCACCTCCATAGCTTTCTTTTCTCCTCTGATTCAGCCTTGGACTATTTCTTTGGATCTTGGGTCCTAAGGCTTCCCAGACATGTTCTTTTTTGGGACAGCTCTGAAGTCTTTCACATCCCCACTGGTCTCAATTTCCCCCCGAATTTGTACTTTCCCTTAACTCCCATGTCAAGGGTTCTTATTTCCAAGGCTACCCCTATTCTCAGGACATCTTCCGTCTCTAGACCTCTAGAGCGTCTCTCCTACCCACCTCCCTTGCCCTAACCATGCTTTGCTTAGTTCCATCTTCTCCTTTGGCTCCAGGCTTCACTTTTGCCTCCTGGTCCACTCTCCACACAGAAGTCAGAGGGGCCCTCCTACAGTCCATATCTAACCCTGCTCCTTCTCTGCCTAGACCCCTAACTGACTTCCCAATGCCCCTGGGATAGGCCAAGACCCTCCACCCAGCATCTCCAGCCCCTCTAAGACACAGGAGAGCTTTTAGAGACTTGAGGGTTGAATGTAGGTTCCCCTCCCCAAGTCCCCAGGCAGCCTTCATTATCCGATAGCACTTCCAAACAGCCACCAAAATCACTTATTCATCTCACTGCCATCAGGCTGGAAGCTACGCAGAACTGACCCTCCACTAGGTTACTCTAAACCATACAGGAGATTGTCCATCTCTTTCTCTCGGAACCACTGGTGGATTCGCACTGCCAGAGTGGCATGGATTAGAAATGCATCATCAGAGTTCTCTAGGGAGTTCTGGTGGTCTAGTGTTAAGAGTTCAAATCCACCAGCTGCTCCAAGGAGAAGGATGGGAAATCTCCTCCCATGTGATTTACTGCCTCTGAAACCCCGCTGGACAGTCAGCTATGGGGTTGGTTCCGATTTGATGGTATACACAACAATAACCTCAGAGTTCTCAGGAACCAAAATAACCAAAACCACAGAACGAGGAACGCAGAAACAAAGCATAACCGGACTGCCATCTAGTGGACAAACTCGGTGCCGCTAAGGAAAAGGTCCATGTTGTTACTGTTGTCTGGGGGGCGGGGTGACCCGCAACAACACAAAAAAAGCCCAGACAGGTGTGGATCCAACAACTTGCCTACCTCACCTCCCTCCTGACTCCATTTTCAATGTTACCTCCAGAAGAATCGGAACGGCAGCAGTGTGTCAGCTTTCAATATTAGGCACACTGCGCCCTGCGCCTGACACACCCTACCCCACTCCTCCTTTGAACAGTAACTCAAGTAACACCTCCTTCAGCTCCAAGTCCCTAAGCAGCACCTTGGGTGTACTTCAATACAAAAATAGCAACACAAACTCCAGCAGCAGCAGCAGCAGCAGCAGCAGCAGGAGGCAGTGGTTCTCAGACCTGCATGTCAACACACTGTCCACAGCTTTCCTGAGGAAAACTCATCCATCAACCCTTCCCCGTTCACAGGAAAGGAGGCCCAAGGAGCAGCCCACCTGCCCCAGGGGACTCACCACATAAGGATAACATAGGGGCTTCTCAGTGCCTATGTCAAGGTGTACCTCCCTTGACCCTTCCAGAACCCCCCAAACCATTGGGACACGCTCGACCCCACTCAGCTACGTGTTCTCCACGTTGCTAGTCATCATCCCGGACCTCTTCTGTGTCCATGTATGTCTGTTTATCCACAGCTCCCAGTCCTGTTATCTCTGGTCAGTCAGCTCCAGGAAGGAAAACACCCAGAGTGACAGGTCTCTGCATGCACCTACTCCGCCAGCCCGAGTATGGCCACCCGAGTCCCACCTAGAGAGAAGCTGCTGGGTTCCAGGGCTGAACTGCCCACCGTGCTGAGGTATCTCCCTGTCATTGCTGTCAAGTCAGAACTGGCCCAGAGCTGACCTTCCAGAAGGTTCTCAGAGGCTGTAACTCGCATGGGAAGAGACTGCCCCCCCTTCCTTCCGAGGAACAGCTGGTAGATTCAAACTGCCTGCTTTTGGGTTGGCAACACAGCGCCTTATGCACTAGGCCACCAAAGAAATCCAGACCCACACTCAGCCAGCACTCTAGCATATCAATGTACATGCCCCAGTTTACAAAAGAAGAAACGGAGGCCCAGAGAATGGAAGGGTCTGGTTCGAGGGCACTCAGCTGGCAGTGGTATCACGGAGGACTGAACCCAGGTAACTAGGCTCCAAGCAGGAGGTTGGAGACACCCCAGCTGAAGGAGACAGAAAGGCAACGTTGGTCCTTAATCTGACCTCTCCCATCGTGTCCATCGTGGGAAGGATGGAGGGAAAGCGGTCATCTGAAGTCCACTTGAGGACTGACAAGATCTCATGTGCCAGCCGCTCAGCGGGGCCATTTCTCTGTCACCCTGGGGTGCTTTCTCAGCCGTTCTCTCTCTTCCATCCATTCAGGCCGAGTCCAAAGTTCCCTTTCTGCTCTTTTGCCCACAGAGCCAGCAGGTGAGAGGGACCTCTAGGATCTCTGGGGTTGCTGGGTCCCTCTGTCACCCCAGTTGTAATTTACCCTGTCCCTCAGGCCAGCATCCCATGTGTGGCCCACGCTCCCAACGACCATGTGGAGGTGGTATTGGCATGCACGTCTGACCCCAGAGGGTTCTGGAGCCCAGAGAAATGGTGTCACTTGCACAAGGTCACACAGCAAAAGAAACCCAAAGTGGCAGGAGTAGCTTCAGAGGCAGGCTCTCTGTCAGACTCCTGAGTCTGTGCCCTTCACCACAATGACTATAGTCTCTCCTCATTAGTCCCAAGCAGGGTCAGAGTGAGCAGAGAAATCAAGAGGGGAAGAGGGGAAACTGAGGCACGACACCCAGGAATGTCACACGAGGCAGTAGGGAAACAGGTGGAGGCACCGCCCTCAGGAATGTCAGTTAATTTCTAATCAAGTGGAGGAAGCCCCAGTAGAGGGTGGGAAGAGGAGGGAGGGGGACTCAGAGAGAGAGGGGGCTCTGAGGGTGGAGGGCTGAGAAGAGAGGCGAGGGCCCAGGCAGAGCCAAAGCAGGGGCTTTGGGAAAGGGGCACTCACCCTCCTTCTCCGCCATGTCACGGCCTCTTGTTAATGATTCCCCCGCTGACCTCCGGGGCCCGGGGCGGGACCTGTGGGGAGATGGCCAGGGAGGCAGGGCCTTTAGGGGGGAGGCCTGGCCCAGCCCTGGTGCCCCCAGTCCCAGGCTCCCATCCAGGGAGGCTGGAGAGACTGGGCTCTGGCCAGGGCACGCCGTGATCACGGATGCAGACTGGGCTGGGTTCAAGGATGGGGTCAGTGTCTGACCAGTGGCCAGTGGGGCCGTCCAGATTTGCCCAAGCAGGAGCAGGACTCCTGTTTCTAAATATTGGAAAAGGGAACTGGGAGACCAAACTATGCGTCTGAGGGAAGACAGGTTTGGGGATGCTGAACTTCTGGGTCTGAGGTAGGAGGCCTGAACTTCTAGGTCTCACAAAGGAAGGGTTTGGGGTCAACACTCGTGGATCTGAAGATGCAAAAAAGTAAGGTCCCAACTCCTGCATCTGAGGAGCTGGAAGGGCGGCGAGGAGTCGGAGAGACTTCTGACCCTCCGAAGCAGAACAAGGGGCCGGTTAGGCAGTGAGGGGACCCTGTCCTCTGGCCCAGAACTGTGATTTGGGTTACTTACCCTGGGGTCCGGCAGGTGGGGATAGAGCTGTGTGATGGTGCAGGTCTAGGGCCAGTCTCCCAGTCTGGGCGGGAGCATGGTGCCCCCGCAGTGGGAGCCGGACAGCAGAGGTGGCTGCAGTGCGGGGCCTGCTAGGCCAGGCTGCCTCACCTGAGGAGGAGGGGGCTGGGCCAGAGCCGGGGAAGGGGCGGGGAGGGGCCGCACGATGGGATTGGCAGCGCCGAAGGCCACCTGGTCAGTGGGGCCGGGCTTGTGGGGGCTGGACCAGGCGGGGCCAGCCAACCCGCCTCCAGCCCGCTCGGGGGCTCAGGTGTGCCAGCCCGCCCGGCCGGTCAGCGGGGGCGAGGGCTGGGGTTTGGAGAGACTAAACAAGCCAGGGGCTGCTTGAAGCTGCAGGTTGGGGATACAGATCTGAAGTATTCAAAAGACGAATCCCTGGCGGGCACAGGCTTTGCCCAGCCCTTCAAAGCCCAGCCACTGCCCCTTGGAGCGCCAGGCTCCGCGCTGCTCGAAGTCATTTCCTGCATCCCAGCCTAGCTCCCCAAGCAGGACCAGGAAGATGCTGTTCTTATTCCGTCCAGGCTGGAGACTTAAGTTCTGTCACTGGCCCTGACTGGGATCCAGATTCCCCATGCCTCCAACCCTGCCTTTCCCAAGCTCCTACTCCATCTCCCCACCCCCCATGCTCCCCCATTCCCACCCCTAGGCCAGCTCCCTTCCCCAATCTGCTTTCCTAAAGTCACAGGGGCGGGTTTGCTTTGGCAGCCTCTCTGCCGCCTGCAGCAGTGACCTCTGGAGCTGGGAAAGTCCTTGATAGGGGGGAAGGGGGTTGGCTCGGAAAGGCGGCACACAGCGCTGAGGCCCAGGCCAAGTGGCTGGAAGCGTCCAGAGGCAGAAACATGCTGTCCAGCCAGCAATCAAGAGCAACCCAGGTCAGACTCCAGGGACACACACACACACAGTCACCAGCAGGCACCTGCCTGTGGGCAGTCACTCACACACTCAGTTAGACCACATGGCCTTCCTATCCACACTCACTCCTCATGCCCTCTGCACCAGCTGGGCCCTTTGCTGAACAAGATGGCCCACCGTTTACCCACACACATAGCCTTTACAGACAAACCACCTGCTCGCCCCCACACAAGCCCTCAGTGCCCACATCTATCAGCTCCCTCCATGGACTCCCTTTACATGGTCTGACCCACAGCTTCTTCAGGGGACACCTGGTTTACTGTCCAATCCCTCATTTCCACCTCTGTTCCCCTCTCTCCATTCATGTCTCTCTTCCCTTCCTGGGGAGCTCTGGTAGCCTAGAGAAAACTGCACTGCTGACCGAAAGGCATGTAGCTTGAATCTACTATCTCTGGTGGGAGAAAAGTGTTCAATCTTCTCCCTTGCGATTTATTGCCTCTGAAAACCTCCTGGAAGGTCAGCTTTGAGTTAGTTCTGTCCCCAAGACACCTAATAACAGCAGCAACTTCCTATTTCACTCTCTTCACTCATCTCTTCAGCTCAATTCCCATCAACATGCAGTGAGTCACAGCTGACCCTTCGGTGGTTTCCGAGGCTGTAAATCACATCTTTCCAGTGTATTCAAAGCCCCAGAGGTGCCACGTTTGAGTTAGCCATGCAATTCTCTGGAGCCACCACAGGTCTCAGAGGTCACAGCCCCACAAACGTCCAGCGCCCCACCTCTCCTCTCTCTGAAGGACCCCAGGCCAACCCAGAACATGCCCCATCCTCACTGCTTTCTTCACCAAATTCTCCCATGACCTTGCCGAGATGACTCCCCAAAATCCCTGCATGGTCTATCCAGGGGCCCTGGGTCGGGTGCTGCCCCCAGCCTACTTCACTCTTTCTCCACCCTTACTGAGGGCACAAAGGCCTCTGGGAAAACGGATTTTCTAGATTTGAGGATGGGGATGACAGTGAGGTAACTGGGCTCACGAAAGAGACTATAAATCAAGTCCAAGAATCTTTATTTCATGAACAAAACTGCTTCTGTAAAGAGAGACGAAGGCTGAATGGACTTCTCTCTAAGTGGCCACAATCCAAGGCTGGTGAGAGAGGGCAGGCGGGGGTCTGGCCAGGACAAGAATGCATCACAGGGACAGGGGACCCCAGGTCCAGCTGGAGGAAGCGGGATGGGGGGATGTTGCTGGGAGTGGGAGGGGGTCATGGAACCCCCTGCCCCCACCTATTCCAGCCCGCTACAACCCCCACTGGGCAGGGGAGGGGCAGGGAGGGACTGAGCTCAGCAGTGTGTCTGAAGCGGCCAATATGTGCAAATTAGCAAGAAGGAAAGGGGTGTGGGGTCTCTGCCCCCGCCTCACCGCCTCACCACCCCCACAAACAGGCAGCAGAAGCGGGGTGGGGGCAGCAGCAGTATTGCTTTACCCATCATGCATGGCGGTAGGTGGGTAATGAGGGCAAGTGGCAGAAAGCTGGAATGGGAGATGCAAGCCAAGCCCCCCGCACCCCTCCCACCCCAGCGGCGGTGGCTCTGGTGGCAGAATTCTGAGGCGAGTGGAGGCCCAGGAATGGCCAACTCCCACAGGAGGGCAGGCTCTGCCCGGATATTTCCCATTAGGACTGGCTCTTCCTTGAGGTTAAGCCTGGGGCCTGAAGGTAAGGGAGAGACAGGGAATTAGGGACCTTGTGAGGGAGCAGCAAGCCCTCCAGAGTTCCCCTCAGCCCCCTCCTCCCCACTCACTCATCCATCCTACCAGGGCTATTCGGCCACCTGGACGCCCGTACAGTTCTCTTTGCTTTCTGAGGTGATGGCCAGGTACTCCGAGCTGTGGGGACAAAAGCCAGGTGTGTAGAGAGGTCCCATCGTCAGTCTTACCCAAGCCCCAGGAGACCAGAGGGGCTGCAGACTGGATTCTTAGGGTCGTGCAAAGAGAAAAGAACCTGGAAGCTACCTTCTCCCATCTTGAGCCCTGGGGCAGACAGGGCGACAGCAGCCTGGTGGTCCCCTAACCCTCCCCCCTCAGCTCACACACTGTCCTGGGAAGTCCCGGTCACTCCTCCACTCACGCATTCTCCTGGGCAGCGGCCTCTGTGGCGGCAGCAATCTTCTTGTAGCAGTACACCATCTCTGCCACCAGCCAGATGGTCAACACCACGATGAGTACGTACATCATGATCTCGGACACGATGGACGCCATGTCTCTGTTGGCTGCAGGGACCAGGCAGGGTTAAGGGGGTAGCTGAGGCCCGGCTTAGAAGGCATCACAAGATCACTGTGGGGGAGTGGGGAATTACCCAGGCTTGATCTGCAAAAGGGATAATCATACTGACTCTCCAGATGACCCAGGACCTATGGACCTGGGGCCTGGCACAAAGGAGATGCTCAGTGTTGTAATCATCTTTGTTTATGTCACTATTAGTAGCAATATATAATGTCACAATATAATTATTAGTAAAGGCCTTCCCATAGGCCTCAGGATCCCTCTCAATTTTACTTTCCTATGTAACATGAAGGTAGGGGCACATCTGCAGCTCTGCAACCAGAAACCTACATTCAAATCCTAGTTTAGTCACTTGCAAGCTGTGTGATCTTTGGCAAGTGATTTAACCTCTCTGGGCTTCAGCTGTTTCAACTGTTTAAAAAAAAAAAAAGATAACCACAGCACTATTTTCCTGAGACAGCTCTGAGAACAGTGGCTGGTCTGTAAGTGTTGGCTGCTGTGAATCCATTCTGATTCAAGAAGCCCTGTGTGAGGCAGCTCTGATGGCCTAGTGGCAAGAAGCTGTGCTGCAATCACGAAGGTGCACAGTTCGAATCCACCAGATGCTGTGCTGGAGAAGGAGGGGCAATCTCTTCCTGTCTTCCGTGCAGGTACAAAATCAAAAACAAAGACGGAAGAAAAAAAGAAAGGGGGGGGGGAAGTTGTACATGGGATATAAAAGATTAAAAAGAAGACGACCTGTGTGGTGTGTGCAGAGTACAACAGTTCTGTTGTTCCTGTTGCTGATGTGCTCCTAGGTGGGTTCAAACCGCCAACCTCTGAGTCACCTAGGGACCGCTTACCTCACAATTTTGTTGCTCTGTTTGGTACACACTGTGAGTCTCTACAGTGGCCAATGTGACCAGGTTGACCTGCCCCACAGGATTACCTTGGCTGGACTCTGAGGAGGCAGACTGCTGTTGGGTTCTGTCAAGTCAATCCCTGTCATACGGACCTTGTAGATAACAGATCAAAGCCTTGCCTGATCCTGCGTCTCCCTAACAATCTCCCACGTGCTTCAGGCTAGTCATTGCTGTAGCCTTGTCAGTCCTCCTGTTAAGGGTCTTCATCCCTTTTTTTGGTCTGGCCAGCTCTTTTCCCACAGAAAAGTTGGTGGGTTCAAACTGCCCACCTTTTGGTTAGCATCTGTCATGATTTAAATCATGTGCCCCTAAAACAAAGTATGTCTGTAATGAAACAATGAGGGAGCTCTGGTGGTCTAGTCCACAGGCAGTTGCACTGTTAACTCTCAGGCCACACCTGACCTTTGAGGGTCCCTAAGACTGGCCTCTAACACCTTCTATCTCACAGGAGATAAAAGGGGAGAAGGAAAGCAGCCTGAAAGGAAAAACCTCAGTGTCACTAAGAATCACCAGGAGTGGAGTTCATTCTTTTGGACCCAGACCTTCGTTCTGGGAAGCTTCTTGAACTCTGGGAAGACCAAGGCGTATGGAGATACCTAAGGCCTACAGACGCTGAAGAAAACAAGGACTTTCTTATATCACTGACATGAATTTGGACTTCTGTCTCTTAAAACTGCAAGACAATTTCTGTTGGTTCAAGCCACCCACATCTGGTATCTCTGTCATAGCACCAGTACATAATTAAGATAACATTCAAGCACTTAGCCATTAGGCCACCACCAATGGCTTCGTCCCATATAATTAGTACTTGATAAATGTTCTCTACTATTGATATTCTCAGTAAAAAGATGGCCAATCTCCTCCCATATTGATTTACAGCCTCAAAAACCAATGTTCAGCCATGAGTTGGTCTTTCCTCTCACTTGACAGCAATGAGTTTGAGTATGGATACTACTACTACTGTTATTAATGGGGCAGCACAGCATAGTGACTAAGAGCAGAAGCTCTGGGGCCAGGTTGCTAGGGTTCAAATCCTAGTTGTGTGATACTTGGTAAATAACTCCATCTCTGAACCTTGATTTTTCACTCTGTAAAATGAGTGGATGAAATTTACACCCCTCACACAGGGGCTGGGAACAAGAAATAAGCTGGCATCCTTCATGTGCTTGGGTGGGCAGGCGCTCAGAACCAACCACTGGCTGAGCCCTGAGCTTTCCGGCAGCCATTCACCCTTCCCCAAACACTGGCCCACGTCACTGCTCACTTCCGGCCACTAAGCCTAAATTTAAACTGTTAAGGGAACATGATCAGTCAGGTCAACAGAGTCAAAGGCCACGTTGGCAACTTCATCCGATTTCACAGGTGTCCACCCCCCAACCGGCCCATTCTTCCGGATGACCAGGAGCTCCTTTCCTATTTGTCCCCATGTGGTTTCCTCCCTGGCAAGCCACACCCTCCCTGCCACCCACCCCATCTGTGCAAATGGCACCGATGCTTTCAGAGCCAGGGCAAGGGTAGGTGCAGGGCTGGGTCCTTCTCCTCTGCTTCCCCATCACATGGCCCCCTCCTCAGGCCATCAATGTTCTGAAGGCTTTTCTCAAAGGGGGAGTGTTGTCTCAGCCAGGTCTGGACTAAGTTCTTTATCTGCACATCTCCTTGACTCCTTGAAACAACCCCAGAGGATAGACTGCCCTAATTTCACCTGTCACCTGACCCCAGGAACCACGCTGAGCCAGATGAAGCCCCAGCCACTGGAATTCAGCTCAACGCCCATATGGACTTGGTTAACATTGCTCATCTTGCCCTCCGACCTCTGTTCTCTAGAACAGACGAGGACAGTGAGAGGAATGGGCCCACAGACCATTGTCCAGAGGATGACACTGAGGCCCAGAGAGGGAGGGTACTGGGCCAGGGACACACAGGAGGCCCTAGGGCTAGGACTTCAGCCCCCGTGAGACTGAGTGAAGGGCAGAGCTCTCAGCTGCTCCCTAGACCTTCCAAAACCAAAGAACTTGGGGAGCATGTGGGTGCAGCCTCCAGTACTTCACACCAGCATCTCAGGAGGTGGGAACAGTCTTTCCCCACCCCCAGGACCGTGCAGGTGAGTGAAGGAAGCCATATCCTTCACCTGTAAATCAGAGGCACCTGCTCTGGAGAGACCTTTGATTTCGTTCAAAAATTCAGTAGCTTCCGCAACTACAATCCCAGAGGTGCACGGTTCGAATCCACCAGATGCTCTGCTGGGGAAGGAGGGGCAATCTCCTCCTGTACCAGTCAGATCTGATTTGACGGTACACGCACACAAAAATAATAAAATAAAATAAAATAAAATGTATAAAATAAAAAAATTTAAAAAAAATTCAGTAGCTTCCAAAAGCTTCATGTGCCTACACAGACCACCTTACCAACAGCCCCGCCACAACTCCAGCCCAAATGAACAGCGGATTTCTCACACGTCTTAGCCACTGCTAAGTGTTTTCTGATCCTACTGCAGAAGAGTATCAGCCTTCTTCTCCCCAGTCACCTATCCCAGCTCCCAGCTGCCACATCATTCCTCAACCAAAAACCAAATTCGCTTCTGTTGAGTCATTTACAGCTTACAGTGACCACCCTCTGTCAGCTTTCCAATGCTGGAAATGGCCCATCTTTCTCCCTCAGAGCTGCTTGCTGGTGGATTCAAACCTCTGACATTTAAGTTAGCAGTTCAACACATAATGTACTACGCCACCAGGGGTCTCTCACTGCCACAGCCCTCCTGGGCCAGCCAAGTTCTCACCACCAAGGGCCCTCTGTCCCTTTGGAAATGACTCTATTCATTTTTCAGGAGCTGTCACCAGGAGGCAATACAGGGCAGTTCTGAAAATGCAGTAAGAGGTTTTTTCACTTCCACGGAATGGATTCTCTCTCACTCACAGTGACCCTAAAGGCAGGAGCAAAACGATCCCAAGGGTTCCAAGGCTGCAAATCTCTAGAGGAGAAGACGTCTCCTGTGGAGCAGCTGGTGGGCTCTAACTGGTGACCTTTCGGTTAGCGGCACAAGGCACGTACACACTACACCACCAAGGGCCCCTTGTGCAGTCGGATCTCATTGCCCTCAAGTCAGCACTGGTTCATCATGGATTCTCCAGTGGGCATCACGGGGTTGCTGGTGGATTAAAACCACCACAGAGGGGCTGCCTTCGGGTTACCAGGCAACTCCCTACAGGCGAGGCCGCCAGAACGCCCAAGAGCCAGATGGTGGTGGTAGTCGCTGCTGTGACCGAGTCACAACCAACTCACAGCAGACCCTCCAGGGTTTTCAGAGACTGTACGTCACATGGGAGGAGACTGTCCATCTTCTTTCAGAGGCGTTACAGCTGGTGGATTCGAACCGCCTATATTCCGGCTGCAACACAGATCCTTAGCACTAAGCCACCAGCGCCACTCACAGCGACCTATGAACAACAGATCTGAACACGTGCCATCCTCTTCATTTCAGCATCCATGAGCCCACTACTGCAGGCACTGTGTCTACTTCTTCCTCTCTTCTGCCATGCCTCCACCTTTCCAAGCACAATGTCCCTCTCCGAGGAATAACCTCTCCTAAAACATGCCCAAAGTATGTGAGATGAAGCTTTATCATCTTTGCCTCCAAAGAGGCTGCACTTTCTCCAAAGCACATCTGTTTATTCTTTTGACAATTTGTGGGCTAATTCAGGACTCTTCTCCATGACCACCACTCAAAGGCATTAACTCTTCTGTCATTCTTATTCACAGTCCAGCTCTCAGATGCACAGCAAGTGACCGAAAAGACCAAGGACTGAATCAGACACATCTTAGTCTTCAAACTGACACCACTGACCAGTAATTTGGAAAGACTGCAAACTTTGCCACAGGAAAAGCAGGCAGGCTCAGGAGGCGCCGGGGCGGGGGGTGTGGAGTGTGGAAAGAGCTCGACTGGGGCAAATACAGGCAAAACCTCAGACCCTGTTTGAGCTGCAGAGTTTATTCCTACTCATGCCAGCCGCCCATGTGCCCAGGACTTTCAAAGCAGCACCTGGCGCTGAGTCTAATCCACTACACTCTATTGTCAGCCAGAGCCTGTAGGTTTTTTTGTATGAGTAATATTCTTACATTTTAAGAGTACTAATAACTGTACCATCAAAGCGGAAGGAGATCACCAGGCTAATCTTCCGAGGCTCCTCTGGGTGGGTTTGCACTGCCAACATTCCAGCTAGCAATCAACTGTTTATAATACCCAGCCACTTGTGGGAGGCAGTATAATTTGGTAAATATTTTTTTTAAAGCCACCACATAGAGGTTCTCCTGGGACACGGCACGGTGAGCAGATTGTGCTAAGCTGCAGTACTGGGGCGTCTTCATTATCACGGCAGCTGTGTCTCCCCACCCCCAGCTGAGACAGATGGGCTGTCTCCCCCTCTGAGCACGATGTCATGACACAGTCACTCAGACATGCCTCCTGAAGTGAACTCTGCTGCCCCACTTTGAAGGGAGACCTGGTGTCATAACAGGTTAAGTGCTGAGCTGCTACCTGAAAGGTCAGCAGTTCAAACTCACCAACTGCTCCAATGGGGAACGAGGAGGCGGGCTCTTACCGAGAGTTACCACTTCAAACCTGAAGGAGGATCACCAGGACATCCACTACCAGAAGCCAACAAACGTATGAATATCAATTATAAAAAGAAACCCACATAGCACTAAGGAACAATGATTTCGTAAAAATACTGTACAACATGGGAGAAAACTAAGGAGCATTATGCTGAGTGAACTCAATCTCATAAGGACAAACACTGTATAAGACAATTATTGTAAAAATGGAAGGATAACTAGTTAGATGTGTGTGAATGTCCAAAAGGGGAAGGGGAGGGAGGGAAGGATGAGGAAAAAAGGGGAGGGGGATCACTGGGGTAGCAGAGTTTAGTGAATGAAGAAATGGGAAAGATTCAATGGGGACTCCAAGAGACGTGATATAATAGGTGCAGATCAATATGACTGGTTCTATGAAATACAGTGTATATGAAGACATGATCTAAAATGAAGATTATATGAAAGACAATGTAGCTGAATAAAACACAATAAAAGAAATTAAAAAAAAAAGAAAAGAAAAAGAAGAAAGAAACCTCAAGGCATGAGTTGTCAACAGAGGGTAAATCACACCCGAACCAGAAACGGCAGTCATATAGGCTTGGCTGGGTTCCATCCAGTGCGAGCCCTGGACCTGGGGCTGTGGCCACAGAACATTCCTTCTCTGAGTGTCAGTTTTTTTCATCTGTAAAATGGGGACAAGAGCCCCAAGTCCAACAGGTGGATTCAATGAGGGACTCCACATAAGGCGAGCACCTGTCTAGTGAAGAAACAGTAATGTCTACTGCCTGTGACGTATGTGGGCCCCAGGAGATTCCATCTGATCCCAACCAGAAAGCAGTTCAGAGACACTGTGAACCCATTACCCACAAAGACCCTAAAGCAAAACAAATCAGACACCAGACATATGCCTTGGACCCTTGCTGCTCACTATATGGGCCCCCGGCCTGCAACGTGGGCTTTGTCTATGTGGCATGTGTGGGGCTGTTAACTGAAAGTTCAAAATCACAAGCCGCTCCAAGGGAGAAAGACGGACAGGGACTGGAAGAGAGTCACCGTCTCGAAAAACAACAGCACCCCAACCACAGCACCACCAGCACATCTCATGCAACAACGCACACCAACCAGCAGGTGGAAGAGACTGATGTCAATGGGTTGGGTTGGGTTTTGGAGAAGCAATGAGTCCTGGACCTGCCCATATCTGCTAAACAGATAAGGCAACAAGACTGCTGGGCAGTGCAAATGAGGTAAGCACGGGCTTACCTGTAGAAAACAATATCACATTTTCCCCACCACCTCCAAGATTTCTGTCTCTCTCTCTCAACCCCATAGCATCTCAAAGACTCTTCAGATTTACAGTCCTAGCAAACAAAGCAAGGGCCATCGCAGACGAGCAAGAAAACACAAGTCAGCCCACGCCCGCTTTGCCGAGCAGGTCTGCACCCTGGGAATGCACCCGCATGGCCTCTTTAGAGGAATTCCACTCAGGAGGCCACACTCACATCGCTTCCCTGCTCAGACAGGGTCACTGCCCCACACAGCAAGGCTGACGGCCAGCAATCTGTGTAATCTACATCATCCCAGATGGAATGACCCACATAGATGGACACTTATTAATATCCCTGTTTCCTACAGGACAAATTTCTGCTCAGGGACCCCAAGGTCACCTGCACAGGTGACAGAGCTGGGTGTTGTATTTCACACCCTAAGGCACTGTGGAGAGAGAGACGCATGCTGTGACCTTAGCCAGGATCTGAGTGGAAGGTAGAGGTGGGGGTAAGTGTTGCTCCCCAGGCCACCACGAGCAGTCAGCTGGTCCAGGCGAGGAGCCAGGCTGCCTCCATGTACCATCTGTCTTTCCATCTGGCCCCTGGTGGGCAACAGCAGGGAGGGGCAGATGGGATCCAGCTCACCTTTGTCCACCACCTCGAGGTGGATCTTTTTGACGACGCTGGTGTTGTGCTCATAGTTCTCAAAGAAGAGCAGGCGGTAGACGTGGCACTCGTAGTCACCCGAGTGGTTGTAGGTGACGTTGGTGATGAAGATGGACAGGTCCTGCAGGTCCTTGGTGCCCCGGCTGCCATTCCACACCACTCGGCCCTCAAAGCGCTCATCCTCTTCCAGCTGCAGCACCTCATTCTCATAGCGCAGGATCTGTGGGCACAGGAGTGGGGGAGCTTGAGTCACTGTCTGTGTCTGCCCTAACTCTCTGTCCCATCCTTGCCTGGGTTTATCCCCATTCTAGACACACAGAGAAACAGACACAGATGTGAGCTCAGGCAGGGTGGGGGCAGTGTAGCTACAGCCTGGACCTACCCAAATCTTGACTTTTGCCTCCAGCCTTGAGATACACACTCCAGTGTCCCCACACTCCCCCGACCCTGGACACTCTCCTCAGACACCCTCTTCTGTAGCCTGGATCCAGCTGCTGTAGACCTCAATTCCCCAGAAGACCCTAAAAAGTTTATGCTGCACCATCCCCACATCCCACTCCTCAAACAAAACACTTTTGGTGGTGTAGTCACTCCCAAGGCACGAAGCCAACTCAAAAGCCATGAGAACTCTGGCAGCTTGAACCCACCAATGGCATCACAGAAGACAGGGGTGTGCCTGTGACTTACGGCCTTGGCAATCCCCTTGAAGGTCAGCTATGAGTTGGTTCCAACCCCGTGGCAGTGAGTTTTCTAGTTCATATAAAAAGGTCCAAATAAAATATTTTTCCCCCTTAATGATTACTGTTGTTGCTGGTGCCAGCAAGTGAACAGCAGATCGGAGCCTTGCCCTATCCTCAACACCTGTGACGTCCTGGAGCCCACTGTTACAGGCACTATGTACACGCACCTTGTTGCAGGCCACTGAAGACAAATCAATTCCTCCACCAGCTCTGAGTCATGGGGACCCAAACGGTGTCAGAGTAGACCTGAGTGCCATGGACTCCCAAGGACTGAGTTTTCCTAAGTGGGTCACCAGGCCTTTCTGCTGAAGTACCACTGGGTGCCTAGCAGCCAGGTATATCATTTGCCAACCACTTGCCAAGTGTATCAATTCACCTAATTTGCACTTGCACTCACATAAGAGGTCACTGCCATATATGTCCTACAAAAGCAGGCAAAGGTTCAGAGGCTCAGTGACTTGATCAAGGTTAATGCTAATTAGTGGGCCACTGATGAAGGTGGAGGTAGGACTGGAATCCAGGTCATCAATAACCCACTGCCATGGAGTCCACTGTGATTCAAAGTGGCACTGTAATCTTCACAGGAGTAGTAGACTGCTCATCCTTCTCCCAAGGAGTGAACGGCAGATCCAAACTGTTGCCTTTTAAACTATTTAAATTCTGTGCCTGACACATAAACACACTATGGCCAGTAGAGCCTAAGAACATTATTAAAAACAAACAACTCTGCATTCTTCTCTGGGAGCCATCCCCTACACCCTCCCCCCCCCACACCTGTGCCAGGTACCCCCACACCTTGACAAACTCCTCTGTGCCCTTCTGACGGAAGGTCCACTCGGTGAAGGTCTCAGCGTTGGTCTCGCTGCGCCTCTTGCAGGAGATGCACAGGATTTTGAAGGTCATCCCATACACAGCCTCGGTCTCCGAGTCCACCTCCACACAGCCTCCCCAGGCAGAAGTTACTGCAAGGATAGCAGCTTGGGTCAAACAGGGGCACCCACTGCCCTCCAGCGAATGGCAGGTGCCCTGGCTGCTGGCTTCCAGGCCCCTCGAGAGCCATCTGTTCCCCTTCAGTGATGACCAAAAACAGGCACCCAGCCAGCCACACCACGGCCAAGCCAAGTGACCCTGGCAAATCACGCATCCTCTCCAAACTTCAGTTTCCTTCTCTGTCATATGAAGCAAGCGCCCCTCTTTCTCTTTGTTTCTATCAAGATGGCTTGACACAGTGACTCCATGGCATGGGCTTAAGTGTGTCAGAGATGACGAGAATGGCACAGGATCGGATAGCGCTCAGAATTTGCTGTGAGTCTACTAGACACCTAACAACAATACAGAGCACCTAACAACAATAACAACCCCAAGTTAGGCCTCCACTGGTGGCCAAGAACACAGCACAGGAAACACACATATCCCTTCCCCTAGTAAAAATGTCACTTGTTCCAGGTAGCACAGTATGGAGGTGAAGAAACTAGTATTGCAACTAACTGTTAAAAGTTCACGGGGCTGTTACTGCTGTTGCTATACAAAACCAGCCAGCCCCAAGGGAGGAGAATGGGGCTGGGACCTGCGCCCACCACACTCCAGTTTGCTTCCTGTCCCACAAGCCTTGGTGGGTGGTACTCACCGCCAATTTCCGTCTTGAGCCCCCCTCTCCCATGTGCTTCACCTCCAGACCTCTTTCCACAGTCTAGCAGCTTCTCAAACTTGCCAGCTCCCTCTTTCCCTCGGGCCCTCTGTACCCCGGATAGGTTCTGCCTTTTGGATCCTTAAATCTACACTTACCGGCCACCTCCTTCCAGCCTCCCAAGCGCTCTCCAGCTTAAACTTTGCGTCTTGTCTCTCCCACTCCAGCTTCGGGTCTTTCTCTCTGTCTCCAAACCTCTCCCTTACCTCTGGAGCGTCTAGTCCTCTCCTGCTGCCTCTCTACGAACTGGTTACTTTCTCCCTTTCTTCACTTCTGTGTGGTGGTCTCTCCGAAGAGGACCCACTTTGAGTCCTCTCTCCAGGCTCACTCTTTCCCTCTTCCCGCTTTTCTTGTTAAAAACTCCATCCCCGGTTCTTCCTGTCTCACATCTAACCTCCTCCATCTCTTCACCGCTTCTAGCCTTTCTCAAATTTGTCTCTGCTCTTCTCGGAACCTCTCTCTTAGTCTCACTCTTATCTCTCCTGCCGATGTTTTCCCAGTCTGTCCAATCCGCTACCTTCAGGCTCATAGCGTCCCTCTTAGTCTTGCGATTTGTCCCCATCTCTCCCGAGGCTCCGGGATGTGCGCATCTCTTGCCTCCTCCCTCGCATCTCCATCTCTCCTGGCCTCTCCGTCTCCACCGGCCCAGTCCCAGGGCGCCGCCCTCTCCTCCATCCCCCTCCCGCGGTTGTAGGTGTCACATTGCAGCCTGCGGGGCTCGCGGAACAGCTGACTCTGCGCTTTCCACGTTCCCGGCAGGGTGCCCGCGGCCGCGAGGTTGTGCCAGCCTGGCCCTGGTCTCCTCCTGCCCACCCGCATCCCCACCCCCACCGCCCTCCCGAATACCGCTCCCCCCTCTCCCGCACACAACTTCTTTCTCGGAAGCGGACTTGGCCGGGCCGAGGGGATGGGCTGGGGGCGGCCCGGGCGCCGCTGCCCCGGTTCCGGAGCTCGAACCCCGGCGCCCAGTAGGTGCCCGGCGGTGCCCCCCCCCCGCGCGCGCCCCCCGCGCACTCACCCAGCGCCGCGCAGACTACGAAGGCCAGCAGCGTCCCCATGGCTGCGCCGCGCGCGCTGCGCCCCCCTCCTGGTTGCCGGTATTAATAGCGGGCGAGAGGCGGCGGGACCTGGCGGCCGTTACAATGTCCCCGGGAGCGCGCGGGCGCAGCAGCTGCGGCTCTGGGACCGGCGGGGGAAGAGGGGGGGCGCGGCCCCCCCG